AGTACATTTTTATTATGGAATAATAGAGCCAAAAACCAAGTAGCATAATAAAATGAAAGCCCTGATACCTATCTTTCTGAAGGCCCATTTTTCAGGGGTACTGGGGATTGAAGCCAGGGCATTTGCCCAGAGCTACATCCCCAGCCCTTATTTTGAGATGGTCTTCCTGAGTTGTCAAGACTCAAATTTGAGGCCATATGCACACATGAACCCCATTAGACATTTATAAGAAACATTTCTTGAGGTTCTGGAGATCAAACTCATGGCCTCATGCCTGCAGGGTGCACTCTAACTGAGCCTCACCCCAAGCCCAAGAAAGCTAATGTGATGTGCATGTCAATAATCCCCTGCCTTCCGAATTGCCACTGGGTTTCCGGCAATAAAATCCATATGTTTGAGGTGAAGAACACAATCATAAGAATAAATCTGGATGTCGTGGACAGGCCTGATGTCCTTCACCAGCTGCATCAACTCCTTCCGAACCTGGTCAAATTTCATGTGGTTGATCTCAGTCCAGAAACCCCAGAGGATTTCATCAAAGCTCTCCAGAGGGGCAGGGTACTTTGCTTGTTCCAGCGGCAGGCTGCCGGTGTGGCTCAGCAGGTTCTTAAGAGCAGTCACGGGGATTTGGTTCCCACAGAAACTGAAGGTTTTGAGCTGGGAACAGTGACCCAGGGCTGGTGAGATGGCATTTAGCTGGGACTCTGTTATCTCACAAAACTCTAAGACCAGGGTCTCAAGGGTGGGTGCCACCTTCTCCAGCAGGACCCGGAGGGGCTCAGGACTCATATCTTTCATGGAAAAAGAGCTGAGATCCAGATACTTCAGTTGATCAGTGCTCGGACACATGGACAGATGCTTTAAATCCTTCTCCTTGAGTGGACAACCTCTCAGCGAGAGTGTTTTCAAGGGGGTCTGACTCCTGGAGAGAAAGCAAAGAGTTACTTCTGGTGAATGAAGGCACCAAGTGGATATAGTGGGAAATGGTAGAAGAGAACTGGTTAATCTCAAACCCAAGGTTGCCCTGTCCTTCTGATGATGGTGGACCCCCAAGACACTGTGGGTTGCAGAATCTGCTCCTAAACATCACCCAATTTCAGGGTGAGCCTTTCACCACCACTTGAGTGACCAGGTGAGTCCATCATCTCTAAGGCTCTTCCCCTCACTGCCAAGCCCAAGGCCACAGCTCTGGCAACAGGAGGTCAGGGGGAGTCATGTATGAAGAAAAAATCCAGGCAAGATGACGAAAACCAACCGGGGTTATCCACCTGTGAAGCTCACACCCTGTACCCTCCATCCCTCCTCCTCACCCTCAACTCCAGAATCACCTCCTGAGGCTCAGAGCAGCCTTCCCCAGGGGGGGCATTGGGGGCAGCTCCTCTGCTCCCTGCTGGAGAGCACAGAGCTTCCCTGTTGCAAAGTGCAGGTGTGGGGGCTTCCCTCCTCCAATGCCCTCTCCTCCACCCCATCTCCCACCTCCTTCGCTGGACAGGCCTCCCAGGGAAGGAACCTCACCCACCCTCACTAGCTCCTTTCCCCCCCAGCTGGCTTCCCAGCATGGTGGCACTTCCCAGAACATGCACCACGGTTCAGCCCTCTGCTTCTCTGTGGGTGGTGATGAGACCCTCCTTTAGGACTGAGCAGGGGACCAGACCCGGAGGTCACTCGGTCACTCTCCAGCATCTCCTTCCCTGATATGGCCAGTGGCCGGGGCACAAGCCCTTTTAATGCTCAGTAAGCAAAAATGGCTTTTGCGGCAATGCGCACCCCTCGTGCTTACAGGAGGATTTTGTGCAGCGCTCCGTAGAGGAAGAAGACGTTGGTCACATAGAGCTCACGGAGTTTTTTCACCTTCCGCAGTTGAAGGCTAAATCTATGGGAAAACCACCTGTTTACCGAGCAGCTGGTGAAGACCTGCCGGCTCAAGTCGGAGAGATGGAGGACGCGAAGGTTTCTCATCTCGATCAGGCAAAAACAAAAATGTTCCATTATTTCTCGAGTCCAGTGCTGAGCATTCACCTCCAGTTCCTGCACGTAGTACAATGGCAACGTCCTCAGGAATTTAGAGAGTTTCAAGTAGAAACCCCCCGAATGCAGCTTCTCGCAGTATATACGGACCACCCCGTTTCTCTCCTCCACCCACTCCCTGAGGCTGCCAAGGAATCTTTGGAAGACTTTGTCCACATCGAAATCTATGAAGATCTTCAAGTGTGGCTTCGCTGTTCTTTGGCTACATTTCTCTCTTTCCTTTGGAGACATGGCCTCTTGTGAGCAGGTACCCAGTGGGGCTCTGGACCACTCATTGTGGCTGTCCTGATTCACTTCCCGAAAATCGATTGCTTTCAGTTTCCATTTCCTATGGAGAAAATGGGAAGGAGGTTTGAAAAATAGACAAAGACTTGCCCGACTTCCAACCTGTGCATTAGACTCCAGTGAATCCCTTGTTCTGGGTGGCTACTCCTCTGCTCTCCTATGTTTCTCCATGCCCTTTCCCCTTGAATCCAGCCAGGGACCCTTCCTGTGGAGGGGGCAGAGCAGCCTCCTCCCTGGCATCACCTGGTCCACCCTTCACCCTGTCCTGCTTCCCTCAGCTGTCTCTTCCTGGGCCCCCCTCACCTGGGGTAAATGTTCTGGGAAATCAGCAAGTCTAGCCCATTCAGTAGGGTTTTTAAGGCCTTCACATCTCTTGTCTTCAGCAGGTACTCCACAGGCAGACAGGGCAAGGGGCAGGACAGCACCATTTTCTTTACCATCTCCATGTGACCCCCCCATTATAGCCTCCTTGTACAACTGCAGGGTGAGCACCCTGGGCAGGTACTCCAGATTGGGGATGGGCAAGGCCTCGTTGCGCAGTACGTTCTGTATCACCAGGTCCTGGAGTGTGGGTATGGTCCTGATGCTCATCCTGTTGAATCTGCAGGGAACAGAGGCACCCTTTCAGGCCAAGCCTGAAAAACCCCTCCTTAACCAGTTGAGGTCCAAATCCTGGTAAGCCACAGTGCTGTGGTGGTGGGGATCAAATCCCCAGTATCCAGTTTCCACCTCTGGTCCTCCCAACTCTAATCCCACTGGTTATTAAGCAGTCTGAAGGCTCACCAGTCCCATTATGGACAGGTGACTCCTCCTCACTTTTGAGATCCTGGGGAGTGAACCAAGGGCTGAATGCATGCCAGGCAAGTGCCTTACCACTGATTCCAAACCTAAACCTCATGTAGGACCCCCTTAAAGAGAATAGAAATGACACAGGGCCAATGCCCAGCCTGGTGACACAAGCCTGTAATTCTAGCAACTTGGGACACTGAGGAGGACTACAAGTTCAAGTCCAGCCTCAGCAACTTAACAAGATCCACGGCCCTCATGAGAGACCAAATCAGAATAAAAAATTAAAAGGGCTGGAATGTGGCTAAGTGGTAAAGGACCCTGAGTTCAATCCCCATTACCAAAAAATAATTTTTTAAAAAATGAGAACCTCAAGTTCAAGGGCAGACTGGGAAACTGAGCAAAACCTTGTCCAAAGCTCAAGATGTGGTTCAGTGGTATCAAGCTTGCCGAGCATGTGAGGCCCTGGGTTCAATTCCCTGTACCACACATACACACACAATGCCATATACATATGTGGACATGTACAGATGTAAATCTAGATATAGGTATACCTTAGGGCTGTGCTGAGGGTGGTAGCTCAGTGATATAGGAGGTTACTGAGCCCACATATAGCCTTGGGTTAGATCCCATTGGACCACAAAAATGAAAATCAGAACTTTTTGTTGCTGAACTTAGAGGAAGTTTATTTGGGGTTCCTGGTTTCAGAGGTTCATTCCATGGACAGCCAGCTCCATTGCTCAAGATGCAGAAGAACATGACCAAACAGAGCCTCAGAAAAGCTGATCCGTAAAGGGCAGCCTGAAGTAGTGGGCATGGTGCCAAGAAACTTTAACAGGGGTTCATGGGATGCTTTCACTATATCCCTTGTGGCTTTGAATCTTACATGTTTCTCACTCCACCCCCCACATCTTCTTTTCTCTAACTTTCTCTTTCATGATCTTCCTGATGTCCTTCCTGATCTCTCCTTCCTAATCCCATTTTCTAGAAACACCTCTATAAAAGCCCCCTGTTCCTGAGGATAGGCAGAAGCACAGGCTTTGGGACACTAGTCCCTTTGTTTCTTCTTTGCTAGCAAAACAATAAACCTTTTTCCTTTTTCTCAATATCTTGTCATTGCTATTGGATTGGCATGGAGGATGGGGACCAAGCCTTTGGTGGCAAAAATATAAACCCAATGACACACCCACAGGGACCTATTTCCTCCAGCCACACCTCAGCTGCCTAGAGTTTATCACCCGGGATGTAGTCCTATCAAATCCGTTAAATAGATGAATGTATTGATTATGGATCTTATAACCCAATCCTCTCACCCCTTACATTAACACTTGAACCTTTGGGAGAATACATCCTATCCAAACCGTGACACCAAAATCCAGTAATAAAACACTGATATAAAAATGTATACATCACATATATGAGCACATATTCCTTTGTTTTGTGGTGATGGGGTTTGAACCCAGGTCCTCATACTAGGCAAGTCCTCTAACACTGAGCACACCCTCACCCTGTTTTAAGCTCTAAATAT